GTTTGTCATTGCTGTTCTTCTAAAAATAAATCCTTTAGCTTTTTTTCTGTCAGAAGCAGATTAGCTTTTGCCACCATTGGGGTATCTGTACTGATCTCCCTGTGCCCCCTGGAGTGGGAAGAGGCCATGGCATGAAGCTACACGTCTGGAATAAAAGAACAGACAAGAGGAGAAAGAAGATGTGTGTCTTTTAACTGATAATAGCGCAATTAATAGCTCCTCCAAGTCACTCCAATGAGCAATTTAAGCACCTTAGTTGGAGATTAACATTTCCTAAAATTCTCTCAAATAGTTTCTTTATTTACACTGAGAAAAATTTTTCAAAAAATTAGATTCCTTTGTAGTTTCAGTAAGAGCTCTAAACTGCATTTGGTACTAAATGTAACTATGTCTATTTATTGATTGGAAATACCACTGTAGATAATAATACATATAATAATTACTCCCCAGAAGGCCAAAAAAAATGTCAAGCTAAAAAGATGCTTACTCATTGAAATAAAAAATATAAAAGTAAGTAGCTACCAAAATTTGTGGCTCAGTTTCTCCTGGAATGTTTATTTTTGCTAAAATCACCACCACCACCACAACACAGTATGCAATATTAAAAAAAAAAAATATTAAGCCACACAATCTTTTTTCAATACTGAATTATGCCAGAATAAACAAAACACGGACTAAATTCTAATAATTCAAACCATCCTCAGTAATTCACATATCATACTAGTTTATCTTCACTCCTCCTTGGTAACTTCCCTGAAAACCACTCCCCGTTCCTACCACCCTGGGTGAAACCACCGAGCTCTTTGAAGGGAGCAACCTTGACAGCCTTCACGTTGGCCAATTTTAAGTCCATCCTCCAGAGCAGTCAAGAGGAAATCTTGTAAACACGGAATCAGATCCCACCACTCCTCTGCACAGAACGCTCCCAGGCTCTGGACAGATGGCACTCAGAGTGGGACCCCCGTGGGTCATGGCCACGAGCCCCACCACGCCTACCTCTACTCCTCCCTCTGCCTCAGCCTCCCAGCCTTCCCTCTGCTCCCCAGGAAGTGAGGCTCATTCTCCTTCACCCTCTCTTTGCCAGGATCTTTGCTTGACTCATTCTTCTTCCTCACCCACATCTCTGTGTCACTCCTCAGAGCACCCTCTGTCCACCACCCCAGTCTGATGGGCACCCTCATCCTTGGCCCCATCACCATCTACCCCCACCATGCTTACTAGTATTTGCCATTGCATGGCTACCATCTATCTTTCCTGCTAGACTAAGCCCAGGGCCAACAGGGATATTGTCATGTGGCTCGCCACTGTGTCCCTGGGTCCAGAAGGGACTGGGGGGTGAGGGGAGGGCTCAAGATATATTGAATAAATGCAAGGTGATTTTTCTCTCTTCTCTGCATGCACAGAAAACCGGCCATGCTCACAGGAACACAAAGTTGCTTCATACTCCTCTCTAGTTGTTGCAAATGGATAGACTTGGCAAAGTACTTTCTACACACTTTGCAACCAGGGAGTGCCAGAGCCTAGCATATTTTAACAACATAAATGATGCTTAAAACTTGCTAATTTGGTTCAGTTTTCAATCTTTTGCTGTTAGAAAAGGAACAAAGTTGTTTGTAACATCACAACACAGCTATTATTTTAACATAAACACTGTCTCCCACATACAATGAAACTTAAAAGAAGACCAATGAGAAAAGAGGAAAGAAAACATGTCAAGAACTGTATCTTCCTATGCCAAACTTAAACATTTGTTTTAAACAGTAATTTCAACTAACTTGGTTCCAGGTAGTTTTACACTGGCTCTTTGTGGACTCCAGAATGAAGATAAAATTCAATATTGATTTTTAAAATCAATTGTTTACATTATCATTAACTCACTACCACCATTAGCAAATAACCAATAAATTCAAACAAAACACACTGTAATAGGGTTTCTGCTGTTCTCAAAAGTCTGAGCAAGAAGTCACGGTTTCATGTACCACAAGAGAAGTTCCAAAGTGTCTGCATTTATTCACTGAATAAATAACACCAGAGAGCAAGGATAAGGCAATGTGCTAGGAACTGTGATTTGCATACTTTAGGCCCTATGCAAAATGTTCCTGTTATAGTCATTTAAAAACTATAGTAATAGTCATATTGTAACAAATATTTGGCTAGGCTAGTGACCAAGCCAATTATGTCTTTTTCAAAGTGCAACAATTTAAAGCAAAGGCGACCTTGCCTGACAATTACGGAAATTAAAATGCTCCAGGAAGTTTGGCAATTTCTTCTGAGCATGGAAAGGCTTTCAAAAAACTAAGTTGCACCATATAAGCACCTCCAAATGACATATCTATCATCTATGTTCTGCTGTTCAAGTTTCCTGCTGTCAATAAAAACTATTTAACCATGTTATTATTCCAGGGTCATGTTATTTCTTTTTCCTATTTAATAGTATTGGTTCTTTGAAAGTTCTTAATTCATATAAAAAGGTTTATGATTGGAACATGGATTAATCTACCCTTCTATGCATTTACAAACATTAGCAAACATGCTAATGGAACAGACTGTATGGACCTCATGCATTATCACAACTCAACAAAACCAAGTAAGCATAATGAAAAAAATAATCGTTACAGGCCCTTTTGTTTTTTTGGTCTAAGGACCAATCTAACCCAAATCGTTTGCCTGTGTTGGTAATCTGATGTCCTGCAACAGAATCAGTCTGTAGAAGCCAGGTTCCAGGTGTATCACAGAACTGCCACAAATGCAAGCAATGATGCTCTTTTTTTTGCTGTCCTTAAAATAACCTGGTTTTGCAGAAAATAACCAGCAGAGAAGGGCTTGCAGGACATCACTGGGGAGAGAGCCTATGGGACCTGGGCAGGGCACACAGGCCTTATTCTGTGGCAGCAAGTGAAACACATCTTTCACTGAAAGCACATTTTAGGAAATAAGCACCAACTGGGAGTGAAGTTTGTAGGGTTTGAAGCATTAACAAAAAATAAGTACATTGAAAACTGTGCTATGTCTTTACCGTAACACAGTCCAAAAGTAAATAATTCTGGAGTCCTTTATGTGGCCTCTGTTCGAACTCTAAGAACACACACTACCATGCCACTCTTTTATGCCATAGCTTGTTTGAATCTGCTTCTGACGCTTGAGCAATTGTCCTCTAAATTATAAGGTTATAATTTATATTGGGGGTTAGCAGGAGGCACAAAATAAAATCCAAAGCAAGTATCCAATGCCTACATGTAGTTACCAACACTTAAATATTCTGACTTCCATAATGAAAATGCCACCCTCGTCATTTTCAAGTAACTTTCAGTGCTGAAGAATTTTGAATAGGAAAAAGAATCTACACAAACACAAAACAAATACATCATTTCTTCTTGTCACTCTTCTTCCTGCAGACTTGGGGAAGGACAGTGTTTCCGTTTGGGTTAGCGCCTGTCCTAGCAGGTTTTACCAGATTGAAAGACATGCAGCTGTGGTAGGCCAATGCCAGTTCCCGCTGCATTTTTAATCTTTCATGCAATTTCATCCCATCCTAAGAACACGAAGTGATCTTCAACGTTAAAGAACCAACTTTATTTTTTTTAAAGATTTTATTATTTATTTATTTATTTGAGACAGAGAGTGAGAGAGAGAGAGAGGAAGCACGAGAGGGGTAAGCGTCAGAAGGAGAAGCAGACTCCCCACTGAGCAGGGAGCCCGATGCGGGACTCCATCCCCGGACTCCGGGATCATGACCTGAGCGGAAGGCAGACGCTTAACACTCCCAGATCATGACCTGAGCCGAAGGCATACGCTTAACCAACTGAGCCAGCCACCCAGGCGCCCTGAAGAGCCAACTTTAAACGGCTATCCCATTAGCTCTTCTATAAGGTGAAATTTAATAGGATTCGGATTTAGCTCATTTGTCAGTTCTCTATTGACAGCTAGAAAATCCACCCTGAGTTATCAACAAAGTAAACGATACAGGCCAGGTCTTCAAGATTTCAAGTCCTTGCTCAAAGGACCACGAGCTCGCTCTAAGCCTACATGTGCATGTTGGCACAAACTGGTGTTTTGTTTTTTTTTTTAAGATTTTATTTATTTGAGAGAGAGAGAATGAGAGACAGCATGAGAGGGAGGAGGGTCAGAGGGAGAAGCAGACTCTCCGCTGAGCAGGGAGCCCGATGTGGGACTCGATCCCAGGACTCCAGGATCATGACCTGAGCCGAAGGCAGTGGCTTAACTAACTGAGCCACCCAGGCGCCATTAATAGGATTCGGGTTTAGCTCATTTGTCAGTTCTCTATTGACAGCTAGAAAATCCACCCTGAGTTATCAACAAAGTAAACAATACAGGCCAGGTCTTCAAGATTTCAAGTACTTGTGCAAAGGACCACGAGCTCGCTCTAAGCCTACATGTGCATGTTGGCACAAACTGGTGTTTCTTGTCTGGAGACGATCCATCAACACCCAAGCCACCAAATCAATGATAAAAGCATACTTCGTGTGCAGAGATATCTGAATGAAAAGTCTTTGAAAATGTCAAAGGACATGAAGCCAAGAGCGACCTCAATTCAGCACTTGTAAAGCTGAAGGAAAGGAGGGGTTTGATGAAGCCGAGGAGGGCCATGGGTTCCTCATAACCCGAGGAAGGCTCCGGTTTGCAGTTCCACAAAATGACCCACTTATTGTACCTAAAGGCCAAAGAGCACCGTGAGGTTTCCAGAAGATTGTTTATTTAGCAAGTCTGATCTGCATTTTTTTTTAAAGGCACCCAAAAAAAGTAACAAAGCAAAGTCAAGGTAAGTGTGTCACCTGCCCCAAGGCTAGTAACCAAGGTTTAGCTGAACCTCCGGGCCCCGGAAGGTCAGCACAGAAGGTGCTGCGGGCGCCGGGAGGCTGACCCCCGCCTCCTTCCACCTGGCTCAAGGCCGGGAGGGGCCGGCCCAGGGCTGGCACCGAGGTGGGCTTCGCGGGGCCAGGCTGCGTCCCCCCACCCACCCCCACCCCCAGCCCACTTACTGTTGCTGGACTTGAGGTCCCGGTGCAGGATGGACACGACCGCCTCCTCGTGCAGGTAGAGCATGCCCCGCGCGATCTGCACGGCCCAGTTGACCAGCACGTGCGGGGGGATGCGGCGCGCACGGCGCGGCCCCGGCGCGCGCGGGTCCGGGGCGGCGTTGGCTGCGGCCAGAGCGCGGTTGAGCGCTCCGCCGCGGGCGAACTCCAGCACCAGGCAGAGGTGCGGCTGCTGCAGGCAAACGCCGCGCAGCTCGATGATGTTGGGGTGCCGCAGCATGGCGAAGAGCCTCGCCTCCCGCCGCACGCTCTCGGCCGCCGTCGCCGCGTCCTGCTCCGGGTCCCGGCGCGCCGCCTTCACCGCCACCTCCCGGCCCTGCCAGGTGGCGCGGTACACCTGCCCGAAGCCGCCGGCGCCGATGAGCTCCTTGAGCTCCAGCCGCTCGAAGTCGACGTGCACGGGCGAGCCGGGGCGCGGCGGCGGCGGCGGCGGCGGCCCGGGGCTGGCGGCCGGGCGGCACGGCGCCACGTAGTTGGCGGGGAAGATGCCGAGGCGCCGCTGCACCTGGCCGGCCCACCAGCCCTCGTCGCCCGACACGGCGGCGTCCTGGGACAGCACCTCCACCAGCTGGCCGCGCCGCAGGCTCAGCTCGTCCTCGCCGCGCGCCTCGTAGTCGTACAGCGCGGCCCACAGCCCCGCTCCCGCCGAGGCCGAGGCGGAGGCCGAGCCGCCGGAGGAGGCGGACGACGACGACGCGGAGCCGGCGGGGCCCTCCCGGGCCGGGGACACCGGCCTGTCAGCCGCGCCCTCGGCGCCCGGCAAGGCCATGGGGGGGCGGCCGGGAGGGCGACGGCGGAGCAGGGCTACGGGCTCAGCCTCCGGGGCGGCTCGGGGCGCGCATGGTCCGGCAAGGAGGGGTAGTCGGGGACGCGGGGGTTCACGGGCCCACTACCCGGAGGCACCGGCCTCAGCCCCCGTTCCGCTTCGTCCGCTTCTGCTGCTGCAGCGGTCCCCACAGCCGCGGGCGCTGTCGCACCATGGTGGCGCGCTGGGCCTGCGGCGGGCCTGCGGCTGGCTGGGCCTAGCCGCCGCCTGGGCCCGCCCCTCCGGGCCCGCCCCGCCCCGCCAGGACCCGCCCACCGCGCCGGCCTGCCCCGCCCCGCCAGGACCCGCCCACCGCGCCGGCCCGCCACGCCCCCTCGGGGCCCGCCCAGACCCCCGGGCCCGGTGCCGCCCCGCCGCTGACGCTCCCGGGCTAGGGTGCGCCGCGCCCCTTCGGCCCGGGAGGCGGAGCCGGCCGTGGCTGCACGAGGTTTTCGAGAAAAATTAAACTAAGCCAAGGGAAAGGCTTTGGGGAGTCCACGATTCTCTAAAAAGCAGTGCCGCGGCTGAAGAGGACCCGGTGCGCTGGGGCGTGACGCGAGGGAGTAGGTTGCAGTTCTGGGAGAGTCACTGTGCATCCCAGAACTGGGGGCGGAACGCATCGGAGCGCGTTTCCAAACCAGTTTACCGGACTGCGAACGGTCGAAATCTACCCGGCAGCCCAAAACTGACTAGATGACACATCACCGCGCCGTGAGCTGCAGGTTGTATAGACCCCGAAGCTCGTTCTTCGTGACACATCATCCTGCGTTTGCCTTTACTGGTTCCTCGAGTGGGAAAGGACTGCCTGTTCCCTGTGAACCCACAGGTTCAGGTTTAGGAAGCGTTGGCCACGACTGGGTGCTAGAGTCCTGGGCCGTACATATTCCCAGAAACGGGGAATAGAGCAAGAGAGTCAGTGCGCAGAAACTCCAGGGGTCCCTGGTATGCTGACTGTTCATTTACCGGTGTTAACCTGGCGCAGCGCGCGGGACCAATTGTGTACAGAAACATTCTGGGAAGCAGGGCCTCCACCCTTCTCCGTTCGCTCTGTGCAGGGAACGGTAGCCTCCTAACACAGATGGAAAGTGAAGCTTTTATGTCTGGGGGCAGGGATCGTTTCAAGTCTAGCGATAAGGAGGAACTTTGGGATTTTTCTTGTATGCACATGTTTTCTTCTCTGTCATTTTTTCAATTATTTTTTTTGAAATCATCTTTGAGGGGTAGATAGCCCACCTCCCCTCCCTGCGCTGTTGAAAGGACAGCAGTGCCCAGCCCGGACTCACGGAGACTCCCTCCTCAGCCCCATGATCCCCGTTCTACCCCCATTTACAGTTTCTGCCCTGATCGTGACAGGCCTATACAAACGTGGATCTTCGTTCTATATTGCTGGAGATGTGGGAATGACCTCTCCAGGTGTCAATACTTCTCATTTAACTAGTTTATTGAGCACATACCCTGTGTGAGACCCTATGCTAAGGATTGGAGGTTATGAAGCCCCTTCTCTAGAGAATGGTAAGAGAAAAGAAACTTCCACAGCAGAAGAATAAACCAGTTTTCCTGGGCTCAAGGTGAAGAAGCACTTCATTTTGCCTGGGGTCACTGGGGAATGCCTTGTGGTGTGTCGTCTGAGCTGAGTATGACTAGGATTAATAAAAAGAGGAAGAAGGTCATCCCAGGCAGTGTGAGTGAAGACAAGAGAGAACAAATAAATATCGGGCTCAGGGTACTGCTAGAGCCTGAGAGATCACTATGGCAAGCGATGAGACTAGAAAGAAGAAAGCCTAATTACAAAAGTTCTAAAGGAAAGAGAATGTCCTGTAGTAGGCCAGAGTCTCCTGACGTGTGGGTCCTTTACCACCAGCGAATGGAGTGGCTCTTTGGGTTTTATGAGGATAGGCCCTATAATAACACAATGAGAAAGTCACTGCCTTTCCAGTTTACTTTCAGTCCTTCATATTATACTGTTACTGGCTGTGTGACCCTGAGCATGTTGCTTTACTTCTCTGTGGCTATTTCCTTACTGTAAAATGGGAATAATAAGAAATAGTAACTACCTCATAGAGCGTGATAGGGAAGCTAAAAGAGGTAATGGATGTAAAGGGGTGGATGGTGCTTAGCACATATTAAGTTCTCAATATATATTAGCTCTTATTATTAATATCCCTTTTCAATAATGAGAGTGAGCCAGTCTGTGGTCAGACCTTTTGGCAAACACAGTTTCTAATCATTTTGTTTTTCTGGTACTTACACTTATGGTTGGCTTCTGTGTACGACTAGCATTATGGGTTTTCCACTTGCAGCAATGAAATTAAGATTCTTGCGCAAACATATTAAGTAAAAAAAAATGAGTCAACTTAAAACACAATTAAAATAGTACATTCGGCACATGGATATGGCAAATATCAAGAAGGTCATACTGGAATGAATGAGGTGGGGAATGACATGGCTGGAGGTGGGGGGGAGCCTTGATGCTTTAGGACAGAGTGGTGATAGGATTAAATTGAAACTGTCTAGAGATGAAATTAGCAAACATGGAAGCAATAGGTTTGACTAGGGCAAGGTGAGAAGCAAGAGAACCAGGAGGGAGACTACTGAGACAGTAAAAGGGAGAACTGAGGGGGCCTGGAAGTTACGGCGCTGGTATTGGGAAAGAAATAGACAAGTGCCAGGTGCAATATTCAGAGAAGAATCGAAAGGACTTCATCACCAGTTACAGGCCTACAGCCCCTCATCCCAAACTCAGGAGTCCAGGTGTGTTCCAGAATTTAGAATTTGGGGGATTTTTAATAATATAGTACATATTTTAATATTAACTCTTCCAACTGGGGATGGGACAGCACCCCATGAACAAACGCATTGATATTTCTGCCCCCAAATATTAAAATAATCTCACCAAGTGAGGTAAATAAAGTCCACAAAGAGCCTCATGTCATTTTAAGTTAAGTTTTGTTGCCAAATGAGTTCTGATGCCACCTTACCAAATCGGTTTTGGTTTTCGGACCTTTTTGGTTTTAGAATTGTGGATAAGGGCTTGTGGGAAGTGTTCAAGTGAACCCTACCCAGGTTTCTCACTTAAGCAAGGAGGGGGAAGGAAATGATATCAAATGACCTAGAAAATGGTTTTAGGGTTATTTTTTGACATGTTGAATTTGGGATGACTTGGGGGCACCTAGTCATACAGTGGGACTATCAGAGAATCAGGGACTCAGGAGACCAGGGGGTGGAGGGAATTGAGTTTTGGAAGTAATTTTCTAAGGCGATGTTTCACACTGTAGAGCAATATTCTAGGCCTCGCAGACAGCAGGGGGACCCCGTGTGTTCCCTTTGTTTGGAAGGCCGGTGTGAGCAATGTGACAGTTCTGTTCACCCTAGCAGTCTCCTTGTGCCCTTCAGGGACCCTGCTACCTGCCAGGAACCCCCTCTCCAGTTCCAGACGGATGAGTCTGTGAAGCCTTTTATTTTTTTAAAGATATTATTTATTTATGAGAGAGAGAGAACACAGGCAAGGAGGAGGGAGGAGCAGAAGGAGAGGGAGAATCAGACTCCTTACCTACCTCCTGCTGAGCAGGAAGCAGGGAGCCGGGAGCCCAACTCAGGTCTCGATCCCAGGACCCGAGATCATGGCCTGAGCTGAAGGCAGACGTTCAACCGACCGAGCCACCCAGGTGCTCCTGTGAAGGTTTTTAACTCCGCTAAACTTGAGCCCTCATTTTGCTCACACACCTGATACTAACAGGAGTACCAAGTGACTATGACTGTCCACACCACGATTCAGAGACTCATCCTCTAGACCGTCCTGGAACCTCCAGCACTGTGATCCCCTGGGACCTCTTCCCCATTTGGGACCTCTCAGCAGCAGACTGTCCTGATGGGGCTTGATGATTCTAAAATTCATCACTTGTAACTGTTGTGTCTTTTTTTTCTAACCCCCCAAATCTTACAGTTGGGGAAAGAGCACTACCTAGAGATGTGTGCTATAACCATGCCCACTCTGTCTAGCCCAGCGCATTCTACCAAGAAGGTAGTAACACAGGAAAAGCAGAGAGCTAAGACAGAACTTTGATGACAAACACATTTAAATGGAAGGTGACAAAAGTAAGAAGCAAGAGGAAAAAATTAAAAGGAATCAGGAGAGCAGGTTAGTGTTAGGGAAAACAGGGAATGGCTATATGGAATTGCTTTCTTGAAAAATTGTATCAGGGTTGGTTCTGGAAGAAGAACCAGCCCTTAAGGATCATCTTCTCTTTGGGAATCTTGCTCTAATTAATTACCACTACCCCTATTATCAGGTCAGCGGTTCTCAAAGTGTGGTCTGTGGGCCCCAAGAGATCCCTGTTCCAGGGGGTCCACAAGGCCAAAATTATTTTCATAATTATACCAAAATATTATTTGCCTTTTTCGCTGTGTTGACATTCGCACTGACGGTTAGTGTAGCAAATCAAGAAAAAAAATGTTAGGTTCACTTTGAAATGTCCTTGATAAAGCAGTGAAAACTAAAAATTAAATCTTCACTTTTTTTTTTTTTTTTTTTAGGGAGTGAGCACGTGAAGGCGCGTGTGCACTCTTAGGGGTTGGGGAGGGTGAGGACAGGCAGAAGGAGAGAGAGAGAATGTCAAGCAGGCTCCATGCAGGGGTGCATCTCACAACCCGAGATCATGACCTGAGCTGAAATCAAGAGTTGGATGCTTAACCGAGTAAGCCACCCAGGTGCCCCCAAATCTTAACTCTTGAGTATAGGCTTTAAGATTCACTGTGACGTAATGGTAAACATAAAACAATTCGGCTGCATACCTAAATATGATCGCTGTATAAGAAAAAACACTTGGGTGACCTTTGAGCTGTATGTCAACCTAGTCACTTTTTTTCATGGAATGCCATTTTTACTTGAAAGAATAAGTGATAAGCAAATTGTAGTTATTCAGAGACATTTCCTAGAAAATGAACAGAACAAGACTATTATTTCATGGAAAACCACTGATAGTATCTGTTGCCAATGATAAAATTTAAGCTTCCAAGCAAAAATCAGGATTTTGGAAAACTTGTAGCTGCTTTCATAAGCTCCAT